CGAATTTCACCGATACCGTCTCATCTCTCCCGCTCTTTTCTCCGGCGATTCTCTTCGAAAGAAAATCGAGAAAAAAAATAAAGAGAAGGAAGTGAGGGTGGTGGTGGTTGTGACGGGGACAACGTTGGAACGCTTGAACAAATCCGTCGAGCACGAAATCGTGTCTGAAAAATCGTGAAGAGGAGCACGCATTCAAAACAGTCCAAAAAACAGGTATATATGTATAATATATGTACATACATATCATAACGTATATGTATGCGAGTAGCACAGAAGGTGTGGAAAGAGGAGAAGTGCGAAAAAATAGAGAAACGTAGATAAGAGATAAGAGTAATCGATCGTAACAACATGTCCCAAAAGTAAAAGTATGTATACTAATATCTGTTGCTAGAGCAGGCTTTTTCGTTCGTAATCAAGGAACGATAAACGGAACCAGAAAGAAAAGAAAAGAACAAGTGTGTGACAAGTAAAACAGAATTGACGTTCTCAATTTTTGTTACGTTCGTTTGGTTGCTCTTTCGTTGGGTCTTACCTTAAACGGACGAGAACTGTTTCTACGGGACGAACCACACACAACAGGTGCCGACAGAGTGTGTTTATGTTACAAAATGTACAGACATATTTACATATTTACCGTTCTTTTTGTACTCAACGCGAAACTATCATTCTACCAGGTGTTTTCGAATGCTTCAGTCGCGGTAACAACGCTTCGCGGATTTCTCAAGAGTACCGCTTTTCCTCCGACAGGAGAACAAACACCGACACTTGGACAATTTTAGCCGTTTAAAAAAAACAAGTCGAAATTTCCACTTAAATGAACATATTCGCGAAGCGTTGAAGTACCACGGGACGCACAGACAGGTGTGCGTGCGTGTGAGATTCATTTCCACCAACGAACAATGAGAGCACCGGCGCCAGAAAAATTGACAAGCGACAGCCTGTCTTCCGCGCGACGTTTACAGCCGGTCGTCCATCGACTTACCTGTTGAACGGGGGGGTAATTAATATCGTGACGTCGGTTGGATAGCGGTACGAGGCATCGATACGAGCGTATAGAGGACTCCGGGCGGAGAGAGAACATATTCGACGTGTTCGATTATTATTACCGGCCCGGCCGGGACGGTCGGGTCAGTCGATCGCGAAAATAATCGCGAGACCTCGTCTGGACCCTTCCACGCGTGTCCGTAGAGAGTCCACTCGATGCACACACACGGACGCACGTTCGATTAATCACCGTCCATACCGAGAGGTAATCGACGCGCGACGACAGGCTGGGCTAATTTCTGATTAATCGTCCTCCGGGCCGAGACTTCGCGAGGGGCCTAAAGGTTCCGAACGACCCGGTGATTAATGTACAACAAGGAGGGGCTCTCGAGATTTCAACGCGCAAAAAGAGAGAGCACCTGGAAGAATCTCGACGATCTCGGATGATTTATTATTTTCGCGAATCGGGGGGTGTTGGGGGCATTGTTCGCGGCTTTGTCCGGGGTTGTTCAATTACACGCGGGAAACTGACCGTGCTCGGTGAAAGTAGCGCGCCTTTCGCCGAGTTGACCACTTTCTGTACGGACATCAATTTATCATTTTTTTCTTTCGAAAGAAGTCGAGAGCGGTGTGTACAAACGACGGATGCAAGTATTCGTGTTAATTTTCGTCTGGTTCGATCAATGTCTGTACGAATTTGGTCGAGTCAGATTGGAGATCAACGTGTAACAAAAGTCTCGTGTTTTCGTACCCTTGAACGACTTAATAAAATATACACAGGTAACATGATCCACGTTGCATTTTATACAATATATTTTAATCGACTCAGCTATATGGTATATATATATATGTGTGTCGTATATGACGGACCAATCAATTTCCAATAACGATTAAGTGGAGCAAAACTTTGAGGGGGAAGGAGAGGAGAGGGAGGGGACAATAACGAACATCAACGCCCCAAAAATAGAAGTCGAGCGGCCTGAATATCGAGTCAGGTGCGACCGACACTTTTCTGCCTCGATCTTACAGCTTTCGAAAGCTTCTCGAAAAGTCTCTTAAACGGCACTTTTTCAACTTCTTCCGTCCCTGTCCTACGAACAAGTGTCGCACGAAAATTACCAATCGTTCAAAATCAAATCACCCTCCTTTCTCGGATTTACAAAATTTTACTCTTTCTCGATTAAATAAAAGTGTCAGTGGCGACTCTCGATATTTGGACCGCTCGACTTCGCGGACAGGCGACAACTGGACTCGAAAAATTGCCCTTTGCGGGGATTTCTCTCTCGACGAGATCAGGATCGTTGTGAGAATTCGTGAAAAGGACAGACAAAGAGGGTGGACATATTCGAAGGGTGTTATGTAAGTATCGAAAAGATGGTGCTCGTTACTGGGCCGACGGCAAGTGAATTGACGGAGCTTTTCAGACGGACACTTAAGATTCAATTTTCTCTTGCCTGGCTGATCTGAAGTGGATGCTCCACTACAGGCTCCCGGTGTTCCTTCGGCTATGCATTATTCATGAAAGCAACTCGTGTTATATTATAATGCGCATTAGGGGGGCAATTAATTCGACGCGACGTCATCGCGTCCGCGCTCGGTGACAATCTTTTTCTTTTCTTTTTTCATACTTTTCGTTCGTTTTTGTCTTCCATCAAGCAACGCGTGATAACTTGGTAAAAGAGGTGTTGGAATATACAGGACATCTGTTAATCTTGCAAGGAGAATTCCGTTCTCTTTCATCCCGGTTTAAGCGAAGCTCGTTCGTCGAAATCCCCTGCGAGAATGGTGTTGGCCTGATCACGCGACACGCGTACTTCTCTGCTACCGTTCCATCAAACAGACGGACCTGCCGCGAGCTGCTGTATTAGGCGATCGAGCGACTCGTCTGGCACGGATTACCGAGCTTTTCACGATCACGAGGAAGACGTGCTCGCCTTTTTGGCGACACGATGTGCCAATTAGTTCACGTCCACGGAAGAAGACGGGGAGCCGAACGATGGTAATTAGCATCGACGCTATCTGGTTGAAACGGTCGAGAAGGAAACTGCGCGACGATAAACCAAAATAGAATTCCCAGGTTGATCGAACGAACAACCTGACTTCCTACGAAATAACGTATCACGAGCAGCAGCTGTAACTACGAAGATTAAAAGATTTCAGACTGTTCTAGCTGGGATGCGACGGAAGACGAGGGAAGAAGAAGTGAAGAGAGTGGAGTCAGGATACAGTTGATTGGCGGAGCTTGGAAAATTTCAGAAGAACGTCAGCTGTTGCGATCGACGCAATTCACTGTTGAAATTTCACAGAGAGGAACTTTCGTTAGGGGACGAAAGTTTCTTTGTCACGTGGAACTCGATGGCGACGGAGATTCCGAGATTTATGCGAGTCTGAGTGTCCTCTAATTGTTTGGCAATCGTTAGGCTACCTGAGGAATTGCGATTTATCAACGTTTACCCAGGCGTGTGGGAATAAAATTAGCCAATTTTGTCCGAATCGATGAAGATTTCGCTCTTGAAGATCTAGAGAGCTGTTTCACGGCTTAGCCCCGGGAGAAATGGCGAGAAGAAAAATGGCGGGGAGAGTTGGTGAACCGGGTGAAACGATAGAAGACACACACTG